TCTAACATTTTATTTCAATCACTGCTATAAAATTATAGCATATCTTTCATTTCTTCACTTTTATAAATGCCTGTATTTTCATGTGTCTTCTTAGTAATTTGTATAAAGCCATCCAATCTACATTTTAAAATTTGCTTTATATAAATTTAGTCTTTTGGTTTTTCAGATCGGTTTATGTCACCGCTAATAAGGAGTACTGCACTTCTTGTTAAATCCCCATACCCACATGTGTACCTGTTAACCACTTCACAAGCGCCAGGCATGTTTAATATCAACCGTGGTAACATAATTACTCAATTTCAGTAATTTAGTTTGTAATTTCTCATCACATATTATGTTCCACTCTCCTTTTATTTTTTTAAATCTCCATATCCCTCGAAGATTCACAGATTCTTTCCCCTAAATTTGATTTTTCCTTTTAGATCTACGTTGCTTGAATCTTTTTGAGACTAAAGGAAACATTCAGTAATAATTGAGTTACACTGAAATCCTTTTAATTAGTTCAATTATTTCTTTACCATATCCTTTGACCTCATCATATTAATTTCTGGTGCCTATTTGACGTTATTATAAAATAATAATAATAACTAATATTAGCTACACCATTTATTGAGCATTCTACTAAATGCTAAACCAGGGGTCCTCAAACTACGGCCCGCGGGCCACATGCGGCCCTCCGAAAACATTTATTCGGCCCGCCGGGTGTTTTTGCCGCCGCTGTGTGCATAGGAATTTGTTCATAGTTTTTTTTTAAACTACAGTCCGGCCCTCCCACGTTCTGAGGGACAGTGAACTGGCCCCCTGTTTAAAAAGTCTGAGGACCCCTGGCTGCTAAACCATTGATACACATACTCTCATTTCACCCTAATCACTGCCCTGTGAAACAGATCTCAAAGTCTTGTTTAATAAATTTTAAAAACCTATCCAAAGTCACCCAGGTGGCGTTTGCTTGACTCCAAGCTACACTTATGTACTGCTGGGACACTGTGATGATACCGAAGTCTAAACATCATACCTATAAACAGCCACTCCTACTGAGCCCCAACCTGTCTCCTCTCCCCTCTCTGATGTCCCTACTGGCTGTGTTTTGAAAGTCAATGTAAAGCACTTAAGGTTGGCATTTAATGTGTATTCTCAGTGTTGAGAGGAGACTAAGGTCTAATAAAGGGGGCAGCTCAGTTAACGGTGGCTATCTACTTGCCCCAAACACTTTGTCTTTACCTGTTTAAATTTTTGGTATATTGATATGGCCTACAATTCAATCATGTGAGTTTTATTGTTATTTCCAGGATGTGTGTTTTTTAGAAAAAAACACATAAAACTATTTGTGTGTTGTTTTATGCATATTTTAATGTAAATTAGTTTGATTGCTTTCCTTCTAACATGCCTCTGAAATTGATAAATAGCCCTTAAAAGACAAAGAGCCTGGGTGAAAAGGTGACAGTGCCTAGGATGGGGTATGCACCTGTCCTTCCTTTTGCTACATCGTTGTCTGATCCCACAGAGGTAACCTAATATATGAGATTATGGGTTGAATGAATTAGCATGGATTTATGGTCCACCTTGAAAAGTTCTAAGCAATTTAGGGCTATACTACTTAATTCTAAAGAAGTAAATAAGAACTCAGAAAGTAATAATCTAAGTGCTATAATGGGGTTAGATATTTTTGTGACGATTCTGTGGGAATATTATTGCCATTTTATATAGGGCACGGGTTCTACAGAGAAATAGGCTTTGAGTTCCAAATAAATACTGTATCAATGAATTGTATAGCAGTCTCTGTTGAAATGTTATGGACTACCCTTTTAAAAACAGTTTCTGAGATCATTTTAAAATATCAGATATGGCTAATGTAAAAAGTAAAAATCATATTTAAATAAAATGATCAAATCCCCCATATCAATTTGCAGATATACTATCCTCATGGTTTGATTTTCAATTATTGCTAATTATATTAATTAACCATTATATAACTCCCAGAAGGGTAGTTGGTCTATGCTGAATTATAATTTGTTCTGTTAAATTTAATAGACAAATTCCATTTTTCTGAACCAATGAACAGCAGAGAATGTTGGTTTTATAGAACAAATAAAAGCTGATCTTTGAACATCTGCCAAGAGTAGAACAGATAAGGAGAATGCAATAGACATGCAAGGGTGCATTGGCTACACAGTTAAATTCTGTTTTGAGGGGGGAAAAACCAAGAAATCATCCACTGATTAAATAGAAATCATATCTGCAAATGCCTTTTGCTGTTCTTATTAAATACAGATGCTCTGCTTTTTATTTCCTAATATACTTAAAATATTCTTAGGATGACAGTAACAATAGGTATTTCTCTAGAGATGCTTGCCTGGTGAGTTATTAAAGAGATTTTTAGAAAATTAATAAGCGTTGCTTACAAACTATCAGTCAGAAGCTTGCAAATTGCAGGGAGGCAATGCCATGTAAAATGTGGAGGGTGTAGTTAAAAAAGAAACTTCGCTAACACTTGATGACATCACATCAACGCTCCTTGACAGCTTCACTGGCATTTCGGGAACACAGCTCAGGAGGACAGCATGTGCTCAACATGTCAGAGGCTTCGGATGCAATCTCAGATATCTCAAATTTGAAAAGCAGGTTAGCTACAAATAATACTTTCCATGACTTAGTGGCCATGTAAATTTGGATAGATTACATAAACTTTCTATATCTTTGTTTCCTCATCTGTTAAATGATTTTTTTCAAGAATTAGATCTAATGTATTAAATGTACTTAGCTCAAAACAAACTTTTAATTGGCACTTGTTATCAAAATAAGGAAGAAAAGAATGAAAATATAACGCTAAATATCCATAATTAAAAAGAATGCTGTTGAGAATTTTAATCTAAGGAACTGTTAGTAGGGAAATTAATAATAACCAAATCTATATGTGCTCTTAACTGATGAAGAACCATCAATAATTATAGAGAATTACATCCTGAAAGTCCTCAGGTGATGCTGATTCTCCAGGAAAACCATTTGAAAACCACTGCCACAGAAGATGTTTAGGAAATTATATTGCTTAGTATAATTAGTCCTTTGCCAAGACTTACATTTTTTCTAGCCTACAATAAATAGTGTCAAAGTTATGTAAGCTTGAAGCCTCAGACATTCATTTATTTATATATTGGAATGGAATCAAAACTTGTTTTTCTGAAAAATATTTTGAGTCATGCCTATAGTACTCTTTAGTCAATCCTCCTATAAGAAATTCCTGTCATGTAGCCACAGTAATTATCATTGCGATTGCTTTTAAGGGACTTGTTTCTATTGCATTTAACTATGTAAATCATACAACCAACCCCGTTTCTCTTTCTGCCTTTGCTGCTTGTTGGGAAGCTCATGGTCAAAGTAGGAGCTCCACACAGGGCAGGTATATAAGATCTCACATTGCATTTTGCTCACAAACTTTATCTTGTCTTGTCTTGACTTCATTTTCTCCTGACACTCATTTCTTCATTGACAACACTATTGAAAGTATTATACGTATTTTTAAAAATTACCTACATTCCTGAAGTATCGTGGGGTATAAACAGGCAAATAAAATAAATCTGTGTTATCTGAAGACATGTCTACGAAAGTTTTAATATCCTATTTTATTAGGACTTCATGCCTTGGTCTTATATGAAATGAATTAGAGATTAGAGCATAACAGAGGCCACATAAGATCAGGTCTATCTATATAGCCCAAGGAAGAAATATAAAAAAAATACCTGGGAAGGCAGAGCTATCACTTCTGATATCAAGTTCAAAAGGTTAGGGATGTATCTGAAATATACCATTACAAAACTATTTTCTGTGAAATTCACCAAACCTATTTCAAGTTATTCATACTTTTATTTTAGAGAACAATTTCTAGAAGTTTAGAACCCAATGAGTAAAGGCAAGGCTATTTTTGTTTGTCTTAAGTTTACCTCTCTTGGCTTTAGGCTGTGCCATTTCCAGCACACCAGAATTTTGTGATGAACAATCTTATGTTCACTGTGTCAGTATTTGAGGAAGAGATTGTGGCTTGAAAGATGATGTTGCTGTAAGAATCTCTGCCTCTTCTAGGTTATAAAGTGGAGAATCTAGAAACTCCTTCTACTTATCACATATGCACATGTTTACTTAAGTCTTGACTTTACCAAAGAATGGAGTATAATGGGAGAAACTGAAGGTTTAAAAGGTAAATATAAAATATATGTAAGTATATAAAAATCCAAACTGCTTTTCTCTATCACACAGATAAACCAAAATATGACATGATTGCAATGATTAAATTACCAAATCATAGAATACATATTAACTAAATGTTATGAGTAAGGTTTGTGATTTTCATTCCTTTATTAACTCTTAAATAGGTACGTTAGAACAAATTTTTCCATGACTTTGGCCATTAATGATATCATGAACTTTAAAATATTTTGAAAATATAAAGGCAATGAAGAGCAAGAGCAATGAAATACTTTTTTCCTACCTTGGTAAACCTCATACCTCAACTTATTCCCAAAAAGTAGTTTAAAAAGACTATTGCTAAAAAACCTTTTGAACTCCTTACACCACCTCATGAGTATGTATTTTTGTCTAATACCTCATTTATAAACCAGATTCAGTTAAAATATTATAAAATCAAAAAATTCCATTTGTGTGTAGGAAAACAGTAAGAAGATAATAGTTCTTAAACATTTTGAGGGTGTTAGAACCTTTATAGGTTTTATAAAATGAAAAATTCTAAAATAATTATTTTTCAGACCATCTATGAGTTTCATTCCTTTAATATCCTATATTATAAAATTATTTTTTAAAAATATAAGACAAATTCTATACCTAAAAGTCGGTATACACATATATAATAAATTTCAGCATTTAATAATATCATGGGGCTATTGAATTATATGTTCATGTCTGACTAATCTGCATTCAGCTGTTTAAAAGAATCTAATAGTTTCATATGATTGATTATTTTACAACTTTTAAAAAGAAAAATGTCTTGCCTTTGAATGGTAATCCTGTTCCAGTCTGGGATCTGATCCGGCTACCTGTTTGTATTTGTTAATTTTCATTTGGCGATTTCTCTCCTCTATATCCATAGCACCTATCGAGTAGAAAAAAACCCATAAAATTAATGTTCAGGTCTTATTTGTGAGCCCTAGTTACAGGACGTATAAAAGAAGAATTGCTAGGCTGATATATTACTGTCATTTAAGGTAATATATACAAATTAAATTTATTATTTTTAGGTATATTTAAAGTATGCAATTTTGCAAATAAAAGCATGATTATGAAATATATTAAATAATTTTAATCTGAAGAAAATGTAAATGAATTTAAACAAAAGACAAACAAATCTTCACTAGATAGAAAACACTTTCTGGTACATGTAGGTCAAGGAATATAGATTTGACAGCACATAAATTTGACAATTGTACTATTAAAAAAGCTTTGGATTATAATACATCAAGACTTGATTTATTTACTGGAGAAAAGTTGTAAGTTTAATTGGTTTCAAATACAATTTTACAATTGGGCTAATTTAACAAGATTAGCCCATGTATTAAAACAGGTTGCCCTAGCATACATGTGGATGCAGTTATCAATATATTTTGAACTTGAATTTTCAAGAACTGGGATCAAGAAAGAAGCACTGAGAATACTACTACTCAGAAGAAATCATGACAGTAAAGGCACAGAGTATTACTGAAGTCATTTCAGAAAAAGAAAAAAAGTGAGGTGAGAGAGCGAGATGGTAAGCTTTTAAAATGAGATTAATGCCCTCTACAATAGGTAGACACATCAAGACACATCAGTCAGGGGGAGTCTTTAAAAACTTTTGTTAGGACAAGAACTACGTTCTGTTAGCAAATTTTAGCAAATATAAAGAAAGTGCTTCAAAAGTATATTTGTGATTTTTATTAGACATTTTATAGGAAAACTAGAGGCCCAATGCGCGAAAATTGTGCAAGGGGCTCAGCCCCTGCCATGGCCGCGGTGGCTGCCTTGGCCCCCGCCGCCACGATGGCCAGGGCCCCCGCCTGCCGTGGCTTTGTCCGGAAGGTCGTCCAAAAGGACGTCTGGTCTAATTAGCATATTACACTTTTATTATTAAAGATTCCATTTCTCAAGTAAAAAAAACAAATAAAAACAAAATCTCAATTGTATACTACAAATTTTCAAACTGGGAAAAATAATCATAGCTTAGTAGGCTGGTAACTATAATAAAATGTTGTCAAGTAAATGCACGTGCACTGAGTGTAGGTAGGAATGTAAACACATTCATACATACCCCTTGCTTAAGATCATAAGTTTAAACTGCAATAAAGATATCTGGATAAAATGTGCCTGTTTAAAGGTAGGCATTTTCATATTCATTCTTAAAAAATTTATATATCCGATAGTTCTTGATAGTAACAAATTTTAAGCAGAAATCAATTAATTAAATAATATAAAGAGGGGAAAAAGTTTCAAAGAGGACTAAGAAAATCTTAAAGAAAGTAATGTATAAAGACTTTACATTATATGACCTTTAAGTATAACAGCAAATTTAAATCAACTATTCAATAAAGTGAGGCAATCAGTTCATTTTAAGAGATACATTTTAATAAAAATTTGAAAATTGATTATGCTATGTGTCAAATTATAAAATAGGAATCAACATATCATGTTAACATCAACTGAATGACACATAACATCAATTGAGTGCCTCTATGACATGAATGTGAAATATAGTCAAGTATCATATCTATTAATTGATTAAAATGCAAGTTTAGAATTGTTTGTACCTCAGGAGATATTCTCAAGATATAAGATAAAACTTGTTTATTTTATCCAAGAGCAAGGGATGCCACCCAGGCATCGAAAAATATGTATACTGAAAAAATATTAACTACATTGAGAGTTTGGGAAGTTTTTTTTTAGAATGTTTCATTTTGATATTATAGTTTGAAAATAGTATTTTAAATATGAATAGCACCAACTGACAAAAGTTTAAATACAATTTATATATACATATATACATACACATACATACAAATCCATACACACACACATACAAATATATGACTTTTCTGGTATTTAGACTATTTTCTGAACATCAACCTCTGATGAAGCTACATTAGATTCTTTCTGATTACTAGGTAGTATGGGTTATATGCTGGAGGAGCTAGCAAATGTTTTCTGTAAAGGGCCCAACAGTAAATATCCTAGGCTTTGCATACCGTATGACTTCTGTCAAAACTCTGCCACTGTAACATTAAGGCAGCTACAGACAATGCATACACAAAAGAATTCAGCTGTACTCTAATGAAACCTTATTTACAAACCAGGCAGCAGGCTGGATTTGATCTGTGGGCCACAGTTTGTGGGACCCCTGTGTTAAAGTATATTGGTTTAATATTGCTTAGTAATGGTTTAGAGATTTTGTAGAATCGGGGTTTTATGATGATCTTATCACTTACATTTAACAGATAACTGGGAGGTATAAGAGAGATACTAATCTGTAAATAGAGTTTGCATCTTAACCTCTCAAATGTGTTCTCAACTAAATTCCAATCTCAAACACATCTCTCAGCTCTGGACTCAATCATCATCTATAGATGGTCCTAAATGGAAAAATACTGTTAGAGCCTTAACCGATGTAATATCAAGGGACCACCTTAGAGAATATATAGTCAGCAAACTTGGGTAAATATACATGTAACTTACAACTTAAAATTCTCCTATGATGCTAATCCTTAGGAGAGTAACCCCACATGCCTGTTAGGCTCAGATGACGTTTTCCATTCCATTTCCTTTCTACATGTCATCAACCTATTCCCATAAAGAAAACACTCCACAAACAATAATATCTTTGGAGAAGAATGTATCCTATTGATAACGAGATCCATCATAAAACATTCTTCACCAGCAAGTTCATTTTTCTTTGCTGGTCTTCTTTCCTAAGGAAAAATGACCTAGAAATAATATTTTCAACAACATTATTTTGGTTTCAACCAAACTCAGTCTTCTTTTTTCTTTCCCTGAGGAATGAAAAAGCAATTTAGAGAAATCATTGCAAGAAAAAGAGCTGTTCATTCTCTGGCTGGGGGATGAAATACATAATTTCTAAACTTTCAGCTCTGATGTCCAATGCTGTACTTATAGAAAAGGAAAATAAGTGAAATTGTTAAAGAGCAGGTTTTTGTTCACTATCCTATCTTTCAGATTTACACTGCAAATGTGCATACAAAAGGTCCTAAAAATTCTACAATAAAGAATAATCATTTGATCACAGAATCTACTCCCTCACCTAGTATCTATTAATATCTTGCTATAACAATGGCAAAAATACATGGTGGGGAATACAGGCTTACAAGTTTAGAGGGTAAATTTATCTAGGATTTTCTAAAATTCACATTCTTATATGTGTTAACACTACATTTATTACAAAAGACATATTAGTACTTTCATTTGAGTCTTTAATTTGAGCATGCTAAAAATTAGTCATTATATGTTCAGCATCAAATGTCAAAGCCTTTTCAAATGATAATAAAAGTGATTGAGAAGTTAATGGGACAATCACATTTCTTGGACAAAGCAATTTACAATGAAAGTTTGCATATATTTGTTGAGGAAATAATCTATTTAAGTGTATTAAATTATAATATTCAAACTGTTTGATTGGCTTTCCTAATAATGCTAATTTAAATTATAAAAGGCTTTGTTTTTTCCACTCTAAATATTTTAAGGCAGGTAACAAAAAGAAAAATCAAATGTAGATATGCTGAAATTCATAAATCTCTCAAAATGTTCTTCTCAAATTGGAAACATCAGTCCATTCTATGTCACATAATTTTAAAAAACCAATATTTTGTTGATTCTGATTTAATGTGTTTTCTAAAATCATATCACATATTTGGTATCTATTTACTTTGGTATATATACGCCATTTAAGAGTTTTATTTGTTCTTAAGTCAATAAGCTTAAACCAATCAATGGTTATTTTAAACTTAAAAAAAGACTACTTAATGTGTCTAGAAAGTTAAAGTCATATGCATAATGTTGTTAAAACAATCAAGTTAAAATATTTAGTTCTGGGTGAATTTTGTATCCAGACATGAAGTAGAAAATGGGCAGATTAACAAGTAGTAAGCCAGTGGTTGTTTAGGTTTCACTTCCAACGTGTGCCACAAAAATCAGACACGTTCAGGGAGCTCTGTAGTACACTCCACACAGAATTAGTCTTGTTTGCTTTACCAACACACACATACGGCTTTTGCGGTCCCAAAGCAGCTTTATGCCCCAAATTCTTTGAAGTGGGGACACCGATTTGGAAGTGATTTCACAATGAGGCTGAACAGTAGTGATCAGAAGATGACATTTGTGATCTTAAATGAAATGCTCAAATCTGGGGATCTCAAGAGAGAAATCTCTTAAACCTAATACCAACGCTCCAAGAAAGAACTCTAAAATTCAGAAAAATATGAGTGAACCTATAATCACAGACATCATGGAAGTCTAAGCTTATGAATCTTACTGAAATCCAGAAACTACATCAGTTAGTACCCCACATTTTCATAGCTGATTTAATAAGTTTTAAACATCCTTCCTTCTCCCCTACCCATCCTTTTCTATCTCTAGGTAAATACATAGTGTCAGCTTAAAGAAAAAGTTTTCCTTTAACTAAGATAAAAAAAATTTATCATGAGAGTTTCTGAGGAAAATAACCCTATCTGTAATTCCTTTTTCTTTGTTTTTTTTTTTTGTCTTCACAAAACTAAGATGTGCCTCTAAACAATCTGAGATTAGAAAACAAATTTATGTTATTATATTTAAAAATAATATATCGAGAATTTGTAAAATGATCAATAAATGTTAGCATTTTATAATTGGATTTATTATAAATTTTAACCTTTTAAAAGATCATGTTAAATTTGTTTTCCAATTAAATTTAAGAATTAAAAGCATTTGTGCAGTATTAAGTTTTGATTAATAATGAAGGATTTCCAACAAAAACTTTTGTTGAACTATTTGAATTGATCACACTATTAAGTGTATCCTTAACAAATCTAATTGATTTGCATAAAACATATTTATAATAAATGTAATCTGAACATAAGA